TTGCTTCAAGATGGGCATACTATCAAAATTCACACAAATTGACCTGTTTTATCAAATCCCGAAATCCCGGGATTTTTCAAAACTTAAATCCCAGGATCGGGATCAGAACTGTAATCCACGGACCCCGTGCAAACCCTATAAACAGCCAATTCCTTTAGCTATTCTCTGTTATAAATTTGCAGAATTATTTCAGTTTTTTGAAAAAGTTGATTTGAATTCGAATCTTACATACAGTGACACATTTCTTCAACTTTCTTCTCCCAGGAACGTTCTTTTAAGTGTTTCATTTAAGTAGCTCGTCAATATTTTTGATTATGTGCTAATGGCGCATCTAATTCATGCATTCATCTATCCACTTTAGATTGCTATGCAAAATGTAGGAACCCTCAGAATGGTAAGTTATTGTTTCTGCTCGATAATCGAAATTATTCGATTTTCTGATTTTTACAAAAGTAAACTCTTAATGATGCAATTAATGCAGAAACCACTCCATAACTTGAAATCAAACGAACCTTACTGATTCAGCTCTCAACAATGCTCCAGCACTTTCGTGTCATTCTACCAAAATTGTCCCACTCATTGTGTGCCATAACATCAACTGTTTCATTAAAGATCAGTTCTGTTGCAACGTTCCCACTCATCATACATTCACTTCTCGTTATCACTACTTTTTCGTTCGATATCGATTAAGCTTAATTATATCATTTCAATGCATATTGCTTTTTAATGTTGTCTTGGTGTGTACTCTGTACAGATATGATCGAATTCATTGCAAAGGTATAAAAACCATGTTGCTTGTAATGTTAAGAATGAAAGACCTTCACATTGTTTATTTGTTTGTAATATTATGATAATACACAAATATCAGTGTATTTATTCAATAGTAATAAATTTTTCATCGTGGTCACGCTTATACACTATCACAATTTTATCGATAAAATTTTGCTTTCTTTCAACGCTTGATAGGTCTTCAATAAGGATTGTTTTCAAAATGTTTCGAACTGATCAGAATCGTAACGAGAAATAAGCAGTGGATATCAATTTTGCTGTGATCATTATTAGCCTGTTTGTTATCACTGCTACTATTATTGGATGAATGATTGCAGATAAAGGATCAGTTGTCTCTTTGTAAGGATATTTTCACTTGACCCATCAAACTGTTGACACTTGCCGTGTTACTGACGTCTAGCGTAGCGGAGATTCAGCGTTACTTGAATCAAGTGAACGATAGTGACGGGCATCCGTATCCGCATCATCGTCAGCGGCACGAGCAGGAGAAAAGACAGGAACACTTCTCGTCAGTTATAGATTATCGTACGCCTCTATTTTCGTTATCAAACTCTCACAGTCCTTGCAAACAGCATCATAACGGCTCTAACGGGCTAATGTTTGTTTTGTTTCAAACAGAATCAGTTGTTCATTGACTGATTTAGCAAACTAGTGATGAATCTTTCAAATAGATGAAGTGGCTAATCGATTTCTGAAGCATGCTTTGCAGTGTAAATGATAACATAGTGATCATTGAAGACATTTTATTGCAGAGCAAAGAATGCGATTTGTATACAAAAGACGTCGAAAAGTGGTTTTTTACTGCTAGCACGAACGAGTGAGATTCTTTGGTTTTGCTGCACTTATTGCGCATCGATTCTTGCAACGAGCGCCGCAGCAATGACCAATTCTGTCGATGCAATCATTACTCAGGTTTGTTCGTTCTGTATCGTGAACATTTGTGATTGATAAAGCAGATAGTGAATGTTATTAAACGAATGAGATGAGGTTAGTGATTGCTATGGCTTGCTCAGGTGCAGAAAGAGGATATCGATCCGAATGGACAGTACATCGCAAGAGGTGTTTTGGAGGAATCTTGTAATGAGGTGATGTTCGCAACACCAACCACGGATTCGTCAAGTGATGATGATAATTTCACAGGTTTATATTATCACTCGTTCAATATCTCTTCCTTTATCTAACACTCTCATTTGTTTTTTTTTTGATTGACTATTTAGTTGCCGTGTTTAATCGTTTGTTTGTTCTATTTTTGTGCACATCAGTAATCATTTTCAGCATCCATATGAACACACTTCAATTACTTTCTCCATTTTCAGTCATGTTGTCTTATATATCGCTCTTTTACTCTTTCAAGAATTTGAGAAAGTCTCATTGATCGCAAGCTATTAAATTCGATCAATCACACGCTGAATATGACTTGTTTCCTGTTGAATGCACTTCAAATTTTACGGCTGAATTGAGTATCTTTCGTTATCCGAAAGATATTATACTAACATAAAGTTGTTTCTGCATAGTACTCCAATAGTATAATTTTGATCAAACGGTTCTGTCACTATCGTCAAGGATTTAAACGAAAATCCTAATCAGTTTGGTGAGGTGTTCGAATCAAGAATGATGATGAAAAGAAGAATAGTGTTCCAAAATGAGGCAAATCTGGAGTGTCAAAACAACGTTGTTCAACAAGATTGTTTTACGTTCAGCCGAAAAGCTGTTATCAATTTCCGAAGGTGATTCATGAAAGGGAAATCGTGATCGTTAAAGAAGTTATCAAGAAGAAAGGAAGCACTCGGCAAAGAACTTTTGTTATTGGAAGTCATTCGGATATTTTGAAAGGACATCTGAAGTGATGCTAATGAAAGCAAATCAAATGATTCACTAATTGTAAGAAAATCAGAGCACACATTACAAAAGGAGTACATTATTATGATCTTCTTTCGATCATACAATTTTGTGGGTATGTGAAAAGCATTAAATTACCTGTAATGAATTGGTGCACATGCGGTCACAATAAATGTTTGAATAATGCGGCAACAACTTCGTATTTTGTTACGTCGCATATCACGGCCACCAAACGCTACAATGAGAATTTATTGAGACTCACTATTATATTCGTGTTCCAATTGTGTTTATGAATAAAGTCGAATATCGTCAACAGACAGTGGCTGTTGATTTTCGGATATTCGACTTCTGTTACACATTTTACGTATCGATGACGGGTTCGTTGCATTTCAATAATCAGATGCTGAATGCATGAATAATTGAAATCAAGTGCAGTCAATAATTTCAGATTAATCAACATGATGCTTGTCATTTGAGCGCTCATTTGCATGCCATGTTCCTTTCGATTGTAAACACCAGTCAATCAGTCATGCAAATTACTCTGATTGCACAATCGTTTAAATGAATGTTCCCAATGTGCAGTTTATAGTTCTGAGTATATTGCTTGCCAACTGGTGCATTTATTTTCATTATTCGTCTTTCTGCTTTAAGTGCATTTTATTCTTTTTGAAGAACGATTCGTTCACTACTCACACAAATACACAAATCAGCATTCTTCTCTACAATCACATTGTCTAGGATCAGTTAGTGAGAAAATTGGAGGCGATAATTCCAAAATTTAATGACTTTTCGGGAATGGGTTGGAATGAAGTTTACGATGGATCGATTCAAAATCGTTGCGGAAAATAGAAGTGTAATTGTGAAAAATTCTGGAAGAATTGTCTTATCTTCGGCTGCCATAGTTTCTTAGGTAATGCACGTTTCGAATGTGAACCTTCAATTCTAATGTCTTCGTTTGAGTTTGTTCGTTGTTTATACAATGCAGTCAAAATTAATACCAGCAGGTTTAAGTAACGAAGCTTTCTCAAGTATGATGGAATGTGATGATTCAGCGCTTGCCAAATTGTGCTCATCATATACAATAATTTAGTATCATTTCGTTTGTTTCAGTTGAATATTTCTTAGTTTTGTCATGTTAGCAGACATGTACCTATTTCTCATTGTTTTTATTCATTCGATAATGTTATGTTCGGATTCATTTACTTCCCTAATTGCAGTTCTCATCTTGTTGAAACCTTCAAAGTCATACCGAGACCGTACTTTCATTTCATTATCAGTGACGCAATTTCCTTAACTCGTGTAACTGTGTTGTGTTGATGAATACATAAATAGTTGAACTGAAATGAGAAGTGTGTGATATGTGTACCGTTTATGGAGGGATATTGATTTTTAGATGGATTAATGAAAGCCGAAAAATGAATAATGACAAATGATAATAGTAGTCAAACAAATGAGATGAATGCGCGCGCGTTGACAAGAGAATAATTAGGACAATTAACAAAAACAGAGCAGTCGTCTCATAGGTTTGTCTCGTCTCAATCATATTACAGCACATTTCCAGGTGTTGAATGCACCATGCACATCTTTGAAATCTACTTTTTGAGAACGCGTATTTCAGTTAATTCACTGTTGTTGATGTTTTTTGTCGATTTCTAATTATCACACAAAAAATTTCTTGATGCGAACACTCATTAAGAAGCGAAGACAATGAAAAAGGTTACATCAATTTGTGCGAGATGCTCGGCATCATCATCATAATGATTGCCACAAAAACTTTTAAACTACAGTTGAAAATCTGGCTCACTCTACAGATAAATGAGCAATTTTCGACCGTACATTCTTTTTATATAATGATCACACAAACAAAAATATCTTACAGTTAGATATTTTATAAATTATCAGTTATATTGATGCTGCAACAATTTTACATTACCTCTGTAATAAGCCTAATTTCTTCGCTTGCGATTCATCATCAGTAGAGGGTTTTTTTTTGTAGTGGAGTTAGAAACGGATTGTAGAAGGAAGAGATGAGGGAGTGAGGGAGGGTGGATTGTTGTGAGTTGAGTAGTTGGGTGCCGAGAGAAGAGGGGGATTGGGACTGGGATGAGATGTTTGTTGGTTCGTTCGGTTTGTTTGCTTTATTGTTGGATAATGGAAGCAAACGTCTTGAGTGATTATTTACTTGTTTGATTCACATCGCCTTTCATTGCTTCTTAGCAATTAAATACTTTGCCGTGCAATGTTTACTTGATTGCTGTTTATTAGCTTTAAGCTTTTCATCAATTTATTCATGTCATCATTCCATCATATTGCGGTTCATCAGTCGTTCTTTCGTAAAGTTAAAAAAATTTTATTCTTGTATTTCACTCTACCGTGCGTTGATTTCAACAACTCTTTGCCGTTTCAGTGTGCTTCATCTTGAATATGTTCCAAACCAATCTCTTACGATTACCAATCATCATTTCAAAAATTACGCTTCATTCTTTTCTGTTTTATCTACCATTCTCTAGATGCTACTTGTGCTGTCGTCGTTCTTTTTCATCAAGATTCCATGTGTTCCTTCATTATCAGCTGACAATGAGTGATTATTGCCTTATACACTCTTGTTTTTATTGTTGTTGTTTTCGTTGTTGATCATGTGGACCACCCACATGATATATGATGATTGGACCTCATTATTGTCTTCATACATTACCCACTTTTGCTCATAGTTACTTTTAGCATTCTCTAGAACGTCAATTTCCAAATTTACATGAACCGGCAAATTTATCACTGAAATTCATTATGAAATGTTTTATAAGTGTTGTATGGTTGAATGGAGAGAATGAGAAAAGAATCATTATGAATATTTTAGTAAGATGAAATTGAGCTGCTGAGAAGCGAATTGATTCGTTATTTGATGTAATTGAATTTGATGAAGTGTCATCATCATACTTTTCACAGTAGTCAGTTATCAATCGAATCCGGTTCTTACGAAAAGCTATTTCCGTTTGAATACTTTTAGTTTCGAAAAGACAGTAATGATTTTTGAACATTATATTTTCATATTAGGGCATTTCTAATTTGCATGAAACCTTTTTTTGGGAAATGAAACTCAAATCCGTAATTCTCAGCAAGAAATGTGACCAGAATGATTCTTCAAATCGATCTGAATCAGTGCCTTTACTGCTTCATTTATTCAGTTTCGTCATGCGTAAGTTTTTTTTTTGCGTTTTCAGCAGACTCGTTTACGCCCGGTGGAAATGTTGGGAAATCGAAATCCTTCAATAGCTAAATGTCACCTATCTCGTGATAGATTTTCCGTTTCATAAAAGTCCTATTCATTGCAAGTACATGGCAAAATTATACCCTCTTAAGACCTTCATCAAGGAATTTAGGCATATGCATTGATTTATTTAATCTGTTATGCATGTTCACAGCTTTGCGATGATATCTTTCCGTTTATCTTTTTCTAATCTCGATTATTCAGCGTGAATTTCTATCAATTAATAGATATAACGGCAATGGAGAATCTTTATTTCGGTTGCATGTTAATTCGATAATCTCGTTTTGTTTCTGATGATAACAGTATCAGATTTTGAGGTATGACAATGATTAATTCAGTGTGCATTTCGTCGTATCGTTATCATTCATTATTTGCATTTTCATTGTTGTTGTCTCTCGATTATATTCCCTTTTCTTCTTCGCTATTTTAATCCTAACAGATGTGTTATTTCTTGTGCTCCTAACGAACTCGTTCTATCATCATCGCTACATCACTCTCTCGTGGTTTTGTTTTCATTTCGTATAGATATCCTCTTTTTATTGTGTGATTGCTCAAATTCCATTTTATTGTGTACAATATTTCACACATTCCCAAGCGCTCACCATCTATCCAATTGATTAGATTAAATATCTCGGGCAGTAATTGATTAACTGCATATTCAAATTTCATAGAAACTCAATACGTTTTTTTTGATTCATTTCCGTGCACATATAAGGTATATGATCAGTCATTGTTTCACTCATCAGTCATTGTTCTCAATATCATCGTAATTTTGTGATTCTTATTTCCGTGTCCCGACTACCTTTTCATGTATACATCCATTCATACATATTCTTATTTGTTGTTGTTATTTTGATTACTTAGCTGTTCAAAGATCATATTTCAGTCACGAGTAGCTGGTGGAGTGAGCTGGCTCGCTAACGTTGTTTTAATTGGATGAATGTGTTTATTTTTTAGTTGCAATGTTGACGTCAGTGTTTTGATTGTAGCAAATTATTCGATATGAGAGTTAGTTAATGGGTTGTGTTGTGTTACTCGTTCATTTATATTGTTTTGAGTTTTGTTTTTAGAGGTGAT